CGCAAGATATACAGTAGGTGGCGGTAATACTCCTAAGGAGTGAACGGCCATTGAACAAAAAGAAGAAGAAGAAGAAGAAGGACCTCCCCCAAAGATTTCGCTTTGGTGAACTGTTTCGAACTGCCAAAACGAACTTCGTTTCGGCCTGAATTTGTTCGAAATTACTTCATTTCAGTTCGTTCTTCGATTTCGTGGCCGTAGATGCCTGTAAACATACTGTGTCCTCTAGAGGGCAGCACCGATCGCCGCATGAATTCTTTTACATGTTCCTGTGGCTCAGAGCATTGCGTTAGCAGCGCAAAAGATCGTGGGTTCAATTCCCAGGGAACACACATACTGGTAAAAAAAATTATAGCCTGAATGCACTGTAAGTCGCTTTGGATAAAAGCGTCTGCTAAATGCATAAATTATTATTATTAAATTATTACACCATGAAGAAAAAAACCCCGGAAGTACGCAAGTAGATGTGAGTGTCTACTGTTTTGCTTATATTGTATTGCAGGGAAATACAGTAGAAATCTTTTCATTTCATTTCTATGTTGGCGATGCTTTACAAATTAACGATTGATTTACCTAGATCATGCACACATCTTAAATCATTCTTTGTTCAGTTGTTTAGAATTCAGTCAAATTTTCTACTAGCCCGGTTTTGACACTGCGGTCAAGCCATTGACTGAGTGGGTGTTTTCACTATCTTTTGCATTTATTTACATTTATGTAAATGTAACGTAATATTAATGTATGCAATGTGTGTTTAATCCGTGTATACTTCATCTGCCTGCCTGTCTGTTAAGTCTCCGTCTATCAAATCAAATCAAATCACTTTTGTCACATCACCATAAACCGTAACGGTGGATGAAATTTTGAGTGCATGCTCTACACCAATGCAGTGCTGTAGTTACGTATTAAACCACAATATACTACAAACTATATTAAAGTATGTGACCGCAGAAGTGTGACTGTCTTGTGCACAGGTGGATCTGTATATTTTGTATGGGAGAGCGCTGAGGATTTCACATCACTATGGGCCACAGAAAGAGAGGTCACACTCATGCACATAAAACGGCCCCATCCTTGGACACACACTCCTCCAACACACTCCGGCACTCTGACCATGAGCAGGGCCTGAAGCACAGGATTTGTATGGTGTCAGACTTCTTCTACCCAAACATGGGTGGCGTGGAGAGTCACATCTACCAGCTCTCACAGTGCCTCATAGAGAAGGGCCACAAGGTTGTCATAGCAACACATGCATATGGAGACCGTCGTGGGATTCGCTACCTGATCAACGGACTAAAGGTGTATTACCTACCACTGCAGGTGTGTGTATTATTTGTTTACAAAGGTCATATTATACATATCAACCTTACCACTCACATCCTCATGCCTTTTCATTTCAGGTCATGTATAATCAGTCCACGGCAACCACCTGCTTCCACAGTTTGCCGTTACTCCGATGTGTGTTCGTGCGTGAACGCATCACGATCGTGCATGCTCACAGCTCCTTCTCCGCGATGGCCCATGATGCTCTGTTCCACGCCAAGACTATGGGACTCAACACTGTATTCACAGATCACTCTCTCTTTGGATTTGCGGACCTGAGTTCTGTACTGACCAATAAGCTGCTGACTGTCTCACTGTGTGACACCAATCACATTGTGTGTGTGTCGTACACTAGTAAAGAGAACACTGTACTGCGGGCCGCCCTGAACCCCGAAATTGTCTCCGTCATCCCTAATGCTGTTGACCCCACTGACTTCACCCCTGACCCATGTCGCCGTGACAACAGCAAAATCACCATTGTGGTCATCAGTCGACTGGTTTACAGGAAAGGTAGGTAGAGGATAGTGTTTTTATTTGCATTGCAGAATAATGTATTAATATATGCAGGTTGTGGGGGGTGGGGGGGGGGGG